TCATAGTAACAGTTTTTCTTGAGGCTTCTGTCACCCTGACTGACCATCTCTCCACATACCAAAGTGACATAGATAGGAAAAAGTTGTTCTGCGCATTTTTGAGAGGCTATCCTTTAATACTTCAAATATTTTACCCAGTTTTTAGATACTATCACTAGAGAAATAAAGCAACTTTAAAAATTTCCTGTACCGTTTACACATCTAATATAAATGTGTCCCAATTGTACTAGTAGGGAAGTTTTTGCTCAGCTCATCTTTGTTGTCAAGTCCAGTGAGGTGCTGGGTTTATTTTTGAATGCTCTTATTCACATTGCATTATATTTGAGTGTTTATGTCCATTAACATAAGGAGATTGAAGGTATTTTGCATGGAACTATCACAGCCTTGTATTTCCCTTATTTTCTAGCCTGGCAGTGCATGCACTGTTAGCCTTCAGGCCATAACTCAAGAATTCCCTCTAAGTAGTATGGATACAGCTTACTGACCTTCTCTACCTTTGTCATTTTCTTAGGGCATTGGAAGAATATTTTTCAAGCCAACATGTGGGAAAGAAATGTTAGTATGTAAAAGAAAAATTAGGCAATGTATATTTGTCTTGCTATGTATATTGTCTTTCTCATATTAAACTTGAAGAGAAAAGTAAATGATCTGGGAATCCAGAGTAAGGAGTGGTCAAACAGGATGAGATCTTGATGTAGAAAAAAATTCTGTGCTCTTTGAATAAAATAGAAAAACTGGAACAGTAAGCTCTTAAACACAATCTGTTCTCAGTTCAGTTCAGAAAAAATTAAAGTTGAAGAATACAGCATGCAAAAGCTACATCTGATGTAGCTTTTACCCTTTGGTGGATTGAAGTATAAATATCTTTATTTTTTGCATATGTCGTCATTATTCTTCAGTGATTATTTTACTCTCAGGGATATTTTACTTTTTCCTCTGAACAGAAGAATATCAGCCTGTACTATCATTCCCAGTTATTCATTTAACTATTTTACAAATATCAGAGGAAATAATTGAAGCCAAAATACTATTCATTGGATTTTATATTTTAAAAATATATATTTCTTCACATGTTGAATAAAGATGAGATAGGAAAAATATGAACTGATTTGTAATATTGAATATTTAATGATAATCCAATATCATCCATCTTTGCAACAATTCCCAGTTTCTCTTTTGCAGAAATGCAGTGTGTGTGTGTGTGTGTGTGTGTGTGTGTGTGTGTGTGTGTGTGTGTGTTATAAAATAGAAATCACAGAGGCCTCCTGGCTTTTCATTTGTTTCTTATTTGAATTCAGAGTGGGCAGAAATGCCAAATTGGTAGCACCTCAGAGGGCAGACACAAGGATTGTGCCTCACTTCTGAGACCCATAGCCATGAGCAGAGACATCTTTGGAGGTTCTGGAGTTCAGTGAAATTGAATGCTTGGCTTACTTTCCCCTCCTGTCATGTCCTCTCTTTTCCTTGCCCGCTATGCTCACCTCTTTGAAATTGCAGGCCTGACCATTGCGAAGGATTGTCACCTGGATAGTTTCTCCTTCTTCCATGTTTCCCTAAAGCATGTTTCCTCATCCGAATTACCTTGTATGCCAACTTCGAAATCTTTAGGTAGATAGACCACCTCAGCAGCTTACTCTACCTCTGAGAAAGGCAACTGTTAACTAATTTTGGAGACGTTATTATGATACCTAACTTAAAAGTTTGGAACAAACAGAATGTAGGTATATACTACCAGCCTACTGTAATATATGTGCTCACGTAGCCTTACTGCTTTCTCTTCCTTTCCATTTCTTTACCTTAATTTATTGCATATCTTTTTCTGTATTCAGGCCTTTTCCTCTCATCTGGAATATTGTAATAGCCTCCTTACTGGTGTTCCTTATTCCAGTTTGCCTTCTGCCTTTAGCCCCTATCTCCTGTATACTGCTGCAAGTGAATTCTTTCTAGATTACAAAATTTGTGGATAAATTCTTCTTTAAAAAAAATAAGAAAGAAAAAAACTAGAAGTCTATTTTGGATAATATGGCCCACAAATTCTGAAAATCTCCTGTAATAAAATACCTTAAAATGATAAAATCTTTTAAACATCTTTTAAATGAATAATGAGCCTCTAACAATGAAAGAGAAATCCTGTGAGGGCAGGAACAGAGCATGAGAACAAATCCACAGAGGTAAGCTGACCCTGGAGTTACAAAACCCTTAGGGCAGCTCTGAAACTGGGTTTCCAAGGTGTACTCGCAATAAAATTACACAGCTGTTAGCACAGAAGGACAAAAAGATGGAAAATATGAAGGAGCGATTAATGCCTTTGGGATGGAGTAAGAACAGGTTACAATAGTGGAGGCAATGGAGAGGAAACAAAATTCAAAGATAAAATGACTTCAAGTTTTTGGAATGATATACAGGAAGCCCCAAAGAACACCAAACTCGAAAAAATTAAAGTAACCTATACTTGGGTATTACATTTAGATTCCAGATATACATTCCAACCTTCATGGGAGCCAAAAGATAGTGAAGTAAAATATCTTCATAAGAAAAAGTAATTGTTAACCTGGAATTTTTTATGATATAGAGATACATTGTATAAACAGAAACAGAAAAAGATTTATAGCTAAAAGATCCTCCCTAAAGGAACTTATATATGGACTTTAAGAAGTAATTGAAAGTGGCCCCTAAAAACCATTCTGAGGCTCAAAAGGAGGTAATGAAAGATAGTAGTAATAGTAAACATGAGAGTAAATCTAAACCTACAATAGCAGTTTATAGAAAATAATGATGTCTGTTTCAGTGGTATTAAAAAACAAAAATAATGATTAAGTTTCACACTTTTGTGGGAGATGGGAAAGTAGAGAGTGCGTACAGGGTTAATGTGACTGATTTAGCAGTGGTCACCCATGGGTGACTTAAGATCAATTTTCAGTTGGGGAGATCTTTGGGATCTGTTTCTAGTAGGCATAATGTGGTCATACTAGAGAGCTGTGAAAAATTTTTGTGAACATGTACGTGAACTCATGGAGAAAAATAATTTGTGATCTTTGAAGGCATCACAGTTGCCCCTAAACTGGTCTTAGGGCTTTGGGGAAATTCGTTACAATTCAGGACCTATTTTCCTTCCATAGAGAATGAAAAGGTTTTCTCTAAGTGGCTTTCTAGCATTCACCAATGCTTTGCCTTAAATTATGTGAATTAGGGCCTCCCTGGTGGCGCAAGTGGTTAAGACGCAACCTATGAAGCAATTTTCAACCTCTGCTGCATGAGTTGGATCCCCTGCCGGCCACATGTCGCAGCAGACCTCTCCCGACTCGCCTGCTGCTCCCCTCAGCAGTGTATTTCAGTCAGTCTGCCTGTTCTGTTCCCCACTCTGTCTCTGGTGAATCCTCTCACCCCCCCACACACACACCTCTGGCCTGTACCCCAGGCTCTTGTTGCATAAATAAATAAATCTTTAAAAAAAATTATGTGAATTACCCACATTTTAAAATCAGGTGGCTGAATTCCTAAGAGGTTGAAGGTCTGGTCAGGAGTTATCCAGTTAGTGGTTGGTTGGTAAGAGGATAAGTTCAAACGCCTCCTCCACACCATTGTACCTTGGATTCTGCTCTGCAGAATCCTGTAGCCATGGTCACCTCTGTGCCCTGTTGTCACTTTGACAGTGGCAGAGTCTGGCATCTATTGAACAATATAGTCGATATTTGTTACATGTTATTTATTATGTTACATTATAGACACCTATGGTTCTCTTTCTTTTTTTCCTTATATAGGAAATCATGGTATACTTTTTATATGTTTTTTTTTTAGTTCACATATAATGGAAACACAAGGGATGATTTTTAAAATTTCCCCTGGAAACCTGCAAGAGTGGATGTTTAGTCCTTTTTTGCCAGGTGGATAAATAACTCAGTTTGGTGTTGGCAGACGTACTGGTGTTCTGTAGGTGGATAATCACTCAGTTTCAAAGGATCCTTGCATCTTCACAGAAGATTTAAAGAATTTGCATAAGAGTAATATATTCCTAATTTAATCAGGTATCCAATTTAAAAACTGCCTAAAGACAGTTAAATAATTGTTAATGAAAGAATAAGACTAAGTGCCCCCCCCCACCTATTTGGATAGAGTTGTTTAGAAAAATGACATCTGGATAGAGTTGTTTAGAGTTTTATTAATATTAAGAATCAGGAGTAAATGGTTTTTGCTAATCTGTGCTTTTGCTTTAGTGCTTTTAAACTGTACAACTTCAAAAAAGTCAATAGAAAAATTCTACTCCAGGAAAATAAAAACTAAAGGAACATAAGGACTTCTTAAAGAATTAATTTGGAGAATTTTTATGAGGATACCTAGTGTCTTCCTCAAACAGTACCAGGTTCTGTGGATTCTAAAGATAGGTAGGTACCTGCTCTCAGATCATTGACAGTCTGCTGAAAGACATCTAGACCAAAAAAAAATTAAAAAAGATATTTCAGGGTGGCAAGATCTGCAGCAGAGGTAAGCACAGATTTCCACAGGAGTAATAATAATAAAAATTATAATCTGGTTGCAGGATGTATGGGAAAAGTGGCAGGAGGGGGTCTTTCATGAGACTTTTTCTTCGTGATTCCTAGAAAGGTTGACAAAGTCATAAAGGCTCAGGTACATGAATCAAACTTTTAAGCTTTCTCCTGGATTAATATCTATTTCTAGTATGTCTTTTTTGCTTTCCCAGTCTCTAATTCATCTTTATAAGAGTTTAGGCTTTAGAGCCATGCTACATGGGTTCAGAGTCCTACTCTTCATCTTCCTAATTATATGACCATAAGTAGGTGACTTCTCTGTGCTTCCATTTTGTAAAAGGACCAAAGTAGTAGTAACTACCTCACAGCACTATTGTGAGGATTAAATGAGATAGTACATGGATAGCTAATTTAACCAGGACAATGGAAGTACAATCACTATGTTCATCATTTACATTTGCCTTCTACAATGCTCATTTCTGTCAAATAAAACTGTCCCTTTTTTGTTTCTAGCTCCAAGAGGAAAACGAGGATGGAAAACATTTTACGCTGTGCTGAAGGGAACAGTCCTTTACTTGCAAAAGGTAAAATAAATAAAAAATTAAACTCACAAATCTTTATGAAATGATAAATAAGTTAACACTCACTTTGTACCTATCAAATACCCAAAAGATTGTTTAATTGACGTCTAAATTCTTATACTTTTTTTCTTTTCCTAGTAAACTATCTCTGGAGATTATAAACATGGCATTATATCTTCCATATTATATATATATATATATATAAGACTTTATATATATGAGTATGTGTGTGAGTGTGTGTGCATGAGATCACAGGGAATGGATGAGCTATGTTCAACTAGAAATTTTGAACATAAGTTGGTTAGTTAACTTCACATGGTCTGTGTCGGTCCTAACCCATGGCAGTTCTTGTTTTAGTGAATATTTATACTGTATATTAGTTATATCTGTCACTTATTATTTCACAGCATAGCTTTATTTAGTTACTTATCTCACAGAGCCTACCTAAATGTAGAAACACATGGAAGCATTGGTACTGAACTATGTAAATGTATTCCAGATTTCCTAAGTAAGCATCTATACTCATCAGGGATATTGGGCTCTACTTTTCTTTTCATGGTTCATCTTTTTTTGGTTTGGGTATTGGGATAATACTGGCCTTATAAACTAAGTGTGTCCTACTCTTCAAATGTTTAAAGAATTTAAGGATTGGTATTGATTACTCCTTAAAAGTTTAGTGAAATTTATTGGTGAAGCCATATAGTCCTGGACTTTTCTTTGTTGGAAGGTTTTTGGTTACTGGTCCAGTATCTGTACTAGTTATAGAACTATTCTGATTTTCTGTTCATGATTCAATCTTGGCAGATTGTATGTTTCTAGGAATTTATCCACGTCCCAATTTGTTGGCATGTAATTGTTCATAGTTATTTCTTATAACTGTTTTAAATTTTATAGCATCATTCATAATATCTCTTCTTTCATCTCTGATTTTGAATCTTCTCTCTTTTTTCTAACCTGTATGAGATGCTTCACCTTGGACCGGTGCTCTTTTTATGGAAAACAATTGCTTGTGTAGAGAGATGTGGAGTTAACTAAAACTCAAAGGTTACAAAGAAAATTATTTGGGGCATCTTTATACAATGTATGCATTATTTTGAGGGACAAAACAACTGGAGAAATGGAGACAGTTGTTGATAGTGAGTCGTTGATATTGATTAAGTTGGCCAGATTCCTGTAATGTCTTTATTTCCCTTATGGAGTCAGCACAATTTATAATTTATAAGAAACTGTTTTGACCTCTGCCAGAACAGCATATGAGGATATGCGGGGCTCATACTGGTCCTTTCAGATGATTTTGTCCCTACAGGGTGCAACCCTTTGAAATTAAATTTCACATATCACAGCTGTTTCCCCAGCATAAATCTTCTTATGAGTTAAATTTCATTTTCTCTAAAATCTGTATATGACGTGTGACTGTATTTGGCAAAACCATTTCATTGAATAACCTAGCCACAGGATCTCTACCCACTCCACCCCAGGTTGAGCTTGGCAAAAAAAGAAAAAAACTCTTGCATTCAACATTTCACAGAGGTGATTCAGAGAGGGATGCTGTTTCCAAGTCACCAGGTTTTCCTTTCACATTGTCTTTCCCCTTAGATTAGTGAATTAAATTGGTTTAGACTCATCCGGATATAGAAGATTAAAGGGCTAAATACTGACAAGAAAATAACTTTTTAAACTAAACTTTGAACCTCCATAATCAGTTTGCATTAGAGCTCCAAAATTACATTGTATCTTCACATTTATGGTGCTTCTGGAATGTGGCAAATACGCCTTTAGAGACCGTTGGATGAAATTCCTTTCATTATAATGTGAAAAACAGGACATGAAAGAAAGTCCACATTTTTATATGAGAATGCAAAGCAGAACTATGGGTGATCTGTCAGGTTGCTGTTTCATTTGAATCAATTGGAATACAAGCATTGCTAAAGTCTTACTTAGCAATGAGAGAAAAAGTCGAGAATAGAACAGCCATGTTTTGTCTACAGTCTCCTCTCTCTTATTAATACTCTTGAGAAGAATGCAGAGAAAAGAAAAGGGAGGGCCTCCCTGGTGGCGCAAGGGGTTGGAAAGCAACCTATGAGGCTGTCCACAGCCGTTGCAGCATGAGTTCGATCCCCAGCCAGGGAGCTACCCACATGGCGCAGCAGACCTCTCCTGACTCGCCCACTGCTCCCCTCAGCAGTGTATTTCAGTCAGTCTGCCTGTTCTCCTCCCCACTCTGTCTCTGGTGAATCCTTTCACTCCCCACACCTCTGGCCTATACCCCAGTTCTTGTATGCATAAATAAATCTTTAAAACAAAGAAAGAAAGAAAAGGGAGAGGGTAAAAAAAATTTTGACAAATGCTTGAAATCTCTACACAGTAATCAATCAAAATCTCTTCACACCAATCCTAGATACTAGCTCATCTGTCAGTGGAGCCTTCATCATAGCAAGGCAGGGTCTGGTATGAATATAGTACTCAAGTGTTTGAGTGGTTTCTTCTTGATTTGTAAAATTAAGAAAGCTTATAGACAATACAAATAGGAAAAACCCTTTGGGCATCTGCATCTGAAAATGCCAGGCACTATGAAGTTAGCAGGATGCTGACTGCCACTGGATACACTTCTGCTTGAGAAGCACCTTTGGGATTTGAGCTGCCCATTGGAAACAGCAGTAGTAGATATCCACACTTCTTCCTCTTTGGAATACCTCTAGATTATAGCAGAACTCAGTCCTGGTTGAAAGTTATGTCCTACAAAGGGCTAAGAATGTCCCATTGCTGGCTCATCCTTAACCTTGCTGGAATCCTAGTTTGCTGGCAATGATGGCAGATGCTATACAAGAAATTACATGATTGCAAAGTGATTTGAGGTTTGTACAGCTTGGGATTTATATCCTCAATAACCATTTAGAGTTCATCACATGTCAAGTATTATGATAAATTCTGAGCTTCCACAAAGGTGACTAAGACACAGTCTGCCCACATAGAACTCACAAAATAAATAAGAGGAGAAACAGGTAAATTGAACATTCACCAAACAATGGGATAAATTAATAGAGGAATGGAAAAGTCCTGCTGAATAGAACACCCCTAATCATGCTTACAAAGGTCAGAGAATACCTCTCTGAGGAACTAACAGACCTTGAACTTATACCTTCAAGATGAGCAGAACTTTGCTAGACAGACAAGGCAATTAAAAAAAAATTTTTTTAACTAGAAAGGAGGAAAATAATAGATTTGAGAGGATGTGACTTGCTCAAAGAATGGCAAAACAGCTTTGTACACTTGGATATTAGGATGGATGTGGGATAGCAAGCAATAGAAACATGAAAAATTATGTTTCAAATAACCACTTCATCATGAACATGAAAGAGATGGTGCCACAGGGTTATAAACTGGCCACCTTACAAAAGAAGCAGTTTCCTTGGCTGAAAGAATTTCAAATTCTTTGTGAGTGGTATTCTGCCCACACTGACACCCAAATACTCAAAGGATTTAGACAGTGTTATACTGCATGCTTGTCAGCCCCTCTAAGTAACCTGTGGATAAAAATGCACCCTAAGTAGCCCACTGTTGTCCCCTCTGTGCTCTTAGGCTGATAATAACATTCCGGGGATTCAAGGTTAGCTGAGAAAGAAGTAGTCCCACCTTCCTCTCCTTCCCACCTATAGTCAATTCTCTGTTAATCAGAGAAGAGCTAATGAGAAAGGGCCCCCATTTTGCCCTCGCCCAACACTAGTTTCATTCAGTTTAGCAGAGACTAGCTTTGTCATTACACTATGCCTGATGTGAGGCTACAAAGATACTAGGACCTAGCACCTGTGCTTAGGGTCTTACTAGCATACTTCATTGCTGCCATCATTCTTTCTTTCCCCCTCCTTTCTACCCCATGTAAATTTCTCAGCATCACAGATTCCTGTGCAAGCATTACTAGTTACTCTTCCCTCCTGAGTTCCCTTGTTTTCCTTAGGTGGGCAGATGCCCCATCACTGCTCCCCACCCTACTGTGGCTGCCAATGCCTTGACTCCTGTAATGGAGAGATAGTATTGCCACAGAAGGAAGGAAGCAACGCCTCTACTTTCTTGATTAAATGAATCAAGTAAGTCTTCTAAAGAGATCTTACAGGCTGACAGCTGTTTAAGAACCCACCTCCCCTTTACTATAAACACAGAAACACCCTTTCCCCACTGGAATAGCTATCTATTTTGGATCTCCTTCCATTATCAGTTACTTATCATTTACTTTTGTTTTTAAGACTTTCATTAAGACTTCTCAACTATGAAAACAGTCTAATGATTTTACCCATAGAGGACAATTCAATTAGTATTTCCTCATTAAAAGTGAAGACTAGTTAAAAAAAAAAAAAATATGTGTCATCAAAAAGAACCAGACAGGGCTGAAAATACAGAGAAAGAACTTTGAATCTTCTCAGTCTTTATTTACTCAACTTTCTTCCTTACTCCCATCTCAGCCAAACAACAAGCTTGTCACAAAGGTTTTCAGTGACTTCTAGAAGAGATTATAGAGTTAATAACTATCTCATTCCTCTAGATTTTATAACCCTGCAAGTGTGTTTATAACCTTCTCTGTTGCCTGCCCCCTGAGCACATACAGTACCAGCAGCTTCTTAGATGTTGAAGTGAGAACTTTGCTGGGCTGACCATCTCTGCTCAATTTCCTCATACCCTCCAGGAAAATAGTCTCTTGGAAAAGTGCTGAAAGAGTAGGACTTTGTCAAATGCTAAATCTGTTGTTTCACTTCTCTGATTTAGAACTGTTAATTTTCCTCTCTGTACCTCAGCTTGATCATCTGTAAAATGGGAGGAATGCATGGTCCTCCCAACTTAATGGTCGAGCTAAAGATTTTTTTTAATATATGGAAATAGCATCTGATGTTGAATAACAAATATTATTTCCTTCTTGATGACTTATAAGTGAATGTTTTTTCCCTTTTGTTTTTTTCCCCGTCATTGCTAATCATAAGCAATATAGTGACTGGCCCAGACATGCTATTTTT